CTGAGCCGAAGGCAGACGCTTAACGACTGAGCCACCCAGGCGCCCTCAAGATTTTTTTTTTAATTGAAGTCTAGTTGACACACAATATTACATTAGTTTCAGGTGGACAAAATAGTAATTCAACATCTTATACATTACTCTCTGCTCACAAGTATAGCTACCATCAGTCACCCTACAAGCCTATTACAATACCATTGGCTGCATTCCCAATGCTGGACCTTTTATTCCCGTGACTTACTCATTCCATAACCAGAAGCCTGTGTCTCCCACTCCCCTTCACCCATTTTGCCCATCCCCCCCACTCCCACCCCTCTGGCAACTCTCAGTTTGTTCTCTGTATTTATAGGTCTGATTCTGCTTTTTGTTTGTGTAGTCATTTGCTTTGTTTTTTTGGGGGGGGGTTCCACATATAAGTGAAGTCACATGCCATTTTCTTTCTCTGACGTATTTCTGAAGTGCTAAATACAATGTAACTTAAATTTATTTAAATATAAGTAAGAATAAACAAATTATCACTAGGAGATTTAGTTTCCCTTTGAAGACACAGATCCAATCACGGTTCTTTTAATTATTTAAAAAAATATATTTTAAGTAGGTTCATTTTCAGGAGCTTTAAATATATATATATATGTGTGTGTGTGTGTATATATATATATATATATATGTATAATTTTCCTTGGATGATGAAGACCCATTCACTGTTGCAGCCATGGCCCTTGCCCTGAGGAAGCTTTTAAAATCCTGCCAGGCGGCCTCACCAATCCAGTCACTGGTGAGCAGTGTGACAGCAACCAGAGCAGAGGGATTCATCTGAAGGTAACACACACATACCCAGGGTCAGTTAACTTCGTGCTGCTGGGAGGGTTTTGCTCCTTATTTTAAGCGAGGCTTTTCCTACGATTAAAAGGAAGGCCCTACACACTAAATTCATTTTCCCAGGACTAATGAAAGAACATCCATCAGAGAAAAAAGCCTCTAAGTGTTGAATTCCAGTTTATGAGCCTCAGGCGGCTAAGGATGAGGAGAGGTCAGGTGCAATGCTATGAAGCCCCCAAATCAGCCTTTGGGTAGAGAAAACAGCCTCCTCCACCCCAAATGCCCTGGCCCTCGGGGCATGGTCATTTTTCCAGAACTCTATTGGAAAAGCACGGCTCTACCATAAGCTACCATAAGCTACAAAGTCCTCCATGGGAATCGATTTCCGATCAACCCTTTTCTTCTGAAGAGGTATCCTTATACAATATAAAGAGCCTAGATGTTTTGGAGTCAGACAGGCTGAGCTTCAAATTCCACCTTTGTATTTCAAAGCCTTAGCTTTAACGTCTGTGATATAAAAGTAATAAAATCAACCTCACGCAGCAGCCAAAGGACAACAGAGGAAGCCGGGACTCTGAATGCGCAGCAATGTGCCAGCTTCCTAGCAGGCATATTTTTAGAAAGAAGTTCGTTCCCACCACTTCCCCCATGACAAGAGAAATTATGGGGAAGCGTAAGCCCTCTGGCACCTGGTGGGAAAGGAGGAAGTGAAAGGCGATTAAGGGAGCAAAGAGAAGATGGAGAGGGTGAGGCTGACTAACTTCACTGGCGCCACCCCCCACCCCTCCCCACGGTCCCGCCTCACCCACAACTGCTTCTCCTCTCACAGGGATGAGGGATGAGAGCTATGTGTCAGACAGAAAGTACAAACTCAGTGCATCTGACTCAGAAACTGGGCCAAGCTGCCCCGAGCAGATAATAAATACAATCACCCTGATCTAATTCAGAGGCCTCAGAGTTCGGCCACTCCTGGCTGAGAGGTTCTCCTATTCCTGGTAGGAAACCCATTCCAGCCTGCATGTGATGGTTGCTAATGGTTTTCTAATCTCAGTGGCAAACCTTTCATGAATGAGATTTGGGGTGTGTGTGGGGGGGGGCTGCTTTAAGATGGTATGTAAAAGGAGGTCTTTTCCAGAACTTGAAAAAAACAGATATTCCACAAAACACTGGCCAACGTTTACATTAGTCTTTATCTTCAAGGTCTGAGCACTTTCATCTACAATCAGTCAACAAATATTTATTAAACCCTGAAACTATTTGCTGTGCCAGGCACGGTGAGTAACACAGAAGAGGTGGAAGGTGAGGGTGCAGATTCCACTCTCAAGAAAACTACAACCAGCTTGGGCGCACAAGCCCTACCCCTGTGTGAAAGAAGTGGTCAATGGGACAAAACACAAACGTCTACCCTCCCATGACGGTATGCGAGAATGCCTCCTGCCTCAGAACTGTCGTGACACTCAGATACAGTGATACACCGAGGGCTCCTTGCAGGAACATGTGTGCTGGACAAATTCATTCTCCCTTCCCCCTCGGAGAAAATCTAGGGCAGAGCAATGTCAAAGCCAAAGCAGCAGGCAGTTACAAGGAGGAGGTTATCAACAGCTAATGCTGCTGAGAGATTTTGACAAAAAGGAAGTTACAACTGACCTTTTAGAGAACTGTTTCTGAAGTGTGATGAAGATCAAAGTCAGTTAATAGCAAAGAGTTAGGAAAGGAAGGCATATCTAGGAAGTGTAGCCAACAGGCATAAAATATAACTTTGAGAGGCTTGGAAGGGAAAAGGAAGACAGAGAACCATAGGATCTAGTGATGGTCATTTGGTTTCTTTTTTTTTTACAAGATGGAGCTCAGCTTAAAAGGTTTTTCTGCAAAGGGGGAAAGAATTAAAATATTCTAGAATCTTCCACAGCTCTAATCTGAAGCCAGCGAGGCAACCACATGGCATCATGTCTCCAAGGAACTCAAAAATAGGTGAAATCAATTTCTTTTTTCTTTTTAATAAAAAAATTCTAAAATAAAAATAAAATAGCTTCCCCAGGACTTTTTTTAAAATATATTTATTTCATCAGGATTCAATAGAACAAGGCAGACAAAGATAGAGGTTAATTAGTTTTATCTGCAGGAAAGTTAAGGGACTTTTGCCTAGGATCTTACTAATCTTTGTTAAAATTAATAAGAGTTAGTTTATACTTTAAGCCAATAAACATTGACTTATTATATTGGTTTTTTTATATCCCTCCTATGGATATAAAATAAATGTTATAAGAAATATAAAGCTGTTCATGCCCTCTGGAGACTTCAACTCAATAGAGACAACAGAAAATGTACACATAACTTGTGTATAAAGGACACGGTGACCAATTTAATAAAACACTAAAGATACTAGGAGGAGAAAAGAGAATGAAGGTAATTCTGGGCTGGGGGAGAGCGGGGTTTTCCTGAAAGAAAGATGGACTTGAGTTTTGAAGAGAACACAGGAGTTTCTAAGGCAGATATGGCAGAGCCAAAGAGGGGGTGAGGGGAGGCACAGTTCCACCGGAGTCCAGGCAGGAAGAAGGAACCAACAAAACCAAGGGTAACGAGGACAGTCAGAAACAAGACACCCTATGTAACGGCGTGAAGGGACGGTTGAAACATCAAGTACACACAAATGGACTTGCCTACATGCAACCCTCTACGTGGAATATCTGCACCTCTAGGCCTCTCTGTCTCATTCATTATTGCATTATTACTCATGCCACTGTTTCCTAACTTCATATTTCAGCTCTAGGGTCTATTTTTTTTCCCATTGTACTCATACAGCAAAAAGAGGAAATAACTCATCCAGCAGTGGGGATTTCTTAGTAGGGTTTTGAAGAGAGATGCTGGGGGTGGCTGACTCTGCCAAAATGTTTCCTTTTTCTCTTGCTGTTTGTCAGATATTGCTGTTGAGCAACCCTGGTGAGTGTCATCAACATGCAATCTCATCTGATTTATCTTCCTTTACTCACTCAAACTCAGCCCTTTGCCCCCTTTTTTTCTGGCTCATTTAGAGTTTCACAACCTCTTACCTTTAATTGCTGAGTAAGTGTAACACATTGTGTATCTGGCATCAGATATAAGCTCCAAGGAAAAGGACTCACAGTCACGGACATAGCTGGGGCTGTCCTTTATGCCTTCATTTTTTGCTTTGCCATTATTTCATTTTAAAATTACATTTCTATTTTCTCACAGATTCTGATTCAAAACAATAAATTTTTGTGGCTGTCTTTTCCTCCAAGTCCCACCCTTTTGAAATGTGGATGACTGAAATAAACATTCTTGTGAGCTCCAGAGAGTCCCTAGCCTCAGTCCCTCCAGAGACCCATAAAAAAATTCCACACCGATAAACCATTGGTACAAGTGCAGGCAATGGAATATTTGGGTCTAATGGGATCCTAAAACTAGCTTTCAATCACACAGATAGGAGAAATGAACCTCATTTGTAGGTCAAAAGCATTTACAGAGTCCTAGAGGCAGGGCCGCCATGGTTCCCTCCTCTACCCCAATAACACAGATACGGGGCCTTTATCCTTTATCCCCAAATAATCCTTTCTATGGATCAACCAAGAACACTCTCCCTTCTCCCCCAATTTCTCCTCTATGCATCCATCTCGATAGGAAGAAAAATGATTTGGGCTTTGACAGAGGTTTCTAGAGCAGAATTCCAGATCCCATTGTTAAATAAATATATGAAGTTTGAGCCCAGTGAAAGATATGGCTGTACTAAAAATGGCTAAATAAAGCAGGAAAGAAAAAACTAGACAACATGTTAATATTTTCAACAGTGTATAGCTTTCACAGACCCTGCCACTCCATGCCAGGTGTGGACTCACAAACTCAGGGGCGACAAGCATTTTTAAAGCATTCAAACCAGGAAGGACTGTAAATACATTATAACATTTCCAGGACCTCCCTTCACATCCCTGGATGCAAGTGGGCCAGTCTACCTATTATCTTTTTATATAAATATCTTCTCTTGCCCACAAATCCTGAAAGGGTCAAATTCTGGGAAGTCACTTGTCTCTGTCAACATACAAAGGAAGCACCTGCTGTAAGATGTTTCCTGCCTGAGGCCATCTTTGCTTCCAAGTGGCTGCTATATCCACAAAGCCTTCAATAGCACCTGGAGCTTAGTAGGAGATCAGCAAATATTTGTTGAATATTGAAGAAATTGACAAATAAAAAGGTCTCATTGTTGGTGAAGTGTTCTCTTAAGTGCCTACCTGGCCACAAGTAGGAACAAGTAGCTGCAACAACCAACCTCTATTCTCTCTGAATCCTTTTGCCATTTGCTTTTTTTTAGGCTTCCAAGTGTTCTAACCTTTTGAGTTCTAGCCTGGATTTGGCCCATAGGCACTAAGTAGACGAGCAACTTTTATGGCTAGCTTGGAATTAGACTGCTTATTAAGATGGCTTCAACATTTCACCACCTGGCTTATCTTGGTTCTCATAGTCCCCAGTCCTACATTCCAGAGCTACATGGAGAGAAATCCAAATGTAGCATGTTGATATAAAAGAGTGACTAGATGGAGGGTTATGAAATGTGACAGCCAGGCTCTAAAATGTCTTCCGATGGTCTCTGCCTTCTGGGCTCCATGTCCTTATATGATCCCCTCTTCTTGAGGATGGGCCAGACTTATGGCTGGCTTCTAACAAACTGAATACTGTAGAAGTGATAGTGTATCAGTACCAAGATTTGGTTATAAAAGAGTGCTGATTCCATTTTATTTCTCTCACTCTCTCATCACCTGCTCTGGGGAAAGCCAGCTGTCCTGTGGAGCGGGCTGCTGGTGAAGCTCCTGTGAAGGAACAAAGGCCTCCAAGCCAATAGCCACTGAGGAACTGAGGTCTGCCGACAACCACCTGTGTGAGCTTGAAGATGGATTCTTCAGCCCCAAGAAAGCCTTCAGATGGCTGCAGTCCTGGCCAACAGCTTGACTGCCTGCCACCTCATGGGAACCCGTGAGCCAGAATTATCCAGCTATGACAGCCCAGGTCTCTGACCCACAGAAATGTTGGGAAAAAAAATGTTTGTTGTTTTAAGCTGTCAGATTTGGGGGTGGTTACATAGTTCTAGAGAACAATACATAAAACTGGAGGTCAGAGAACACTTTCTTAAAGGGCCAGATAGTAAGTATCTGGGGATTTGCAAGCCATGCTCTGTCTGTTGCCTTCCTCAGTTCTGCCATTGAAGCCCCAAAGCTGTCAGAGACCATTTGTAAGTGAATGCACATGGCTGTCTGCCTATAAACTTAATTTACAAAAATAGTCAACCAGTGTGTGGGCTATCATGTGCCAGTCTATGCATTAAACCAATGTATTTGCAGACTGTATAGTGTCTTAAGTTTCATTGTCCTGAAGCTACCCTATCAAGAAACAAACATGGTCAATTCAGATCACAGAGTTTCTTCTATAATGTGAAGGGGATAGCCTTCCCTATCATTACTTTTAAAATTACTATTAAAAAATGAGGTTGGGGGCGCCTGGGTGGCTCAGTTGGTTAAGCAACTGCCTTCAGCTCGGGTCATGATCCTGGAGTCCCCAGATCGAGTCCCGCATCGGGCTCCCCGCTCAGCGGGAAGTCTGCTTCTCCCTCTGACCCTCCCCCATCTCATGTTCTCTCTCTCTCTCTCTCATTCTCTCTCTCAAATAAATAAATAAATAAAATCTTTAAAAAAAATAAAAATGAGGTTGGGCTACTCTGGGCAAATCAAGCAAGATGCAGGGAAAGTCCCTTCCAGAGGTGAAAAACAAAAATCCAGAGCTTTTTAATCCCAGGAGAGTTTAGAAGGAGAATGGAGAGAGGCAGTCTGAAGAGAGAAGGTGTTCAGCTTCTACAAATCCTAAGCAAGCACTATGGACAGAAATGAGGGAAATGCTTTAGATACATCTAGATAAGCACAAGAATTTTAAGAACTTCAGAATGGGTCACCCAGTTGCCTGGATATAGTGGAAGGCTCAAAGCTGCAAGAACTCCTGAGCCATTTAGACCAAAGTGGCACAAGACAGCTCAGCATTGGTTAAAGGAGACTGAAATAAGGCTTATACCTCGCATGGACTTGACACAGAATACAGAAGATACGAAAGTGTCATGTGGCCCCACAGTAGTTGCAGAAGTGCTAACACCCCTTGGTCAGCAAAGTCTTGGGCAGGCTAAGGATGGGACCTCCTTGACCAGAGGTAATAACAGGTCTAATATAGGCAGCAAGGGAAGAGACTAGATTTTTACTTCTTTTTCCTCTCTGGAAAAGATTCTGCATCTTACTTTTCTCTCTCCCCAAGTACCATTCTCCTAGTGCATGCTCATAGGTCAGAAGGACCAGCTATAACACCAGCACATTTAACAGAGTCCAACAAGCAAAGATTATGGAAACAGATCCATAACCAAAGGTTTATAGATAAGCCCCCTCTCCCTCATTCCCAAGAAGCTATATGAGCCCCTCCCACCCCGTAGGCCTATGGGCCACCTTGAGTAAAACAAGGAAAGGGAAATTAACTCTGGGAATACAAACATTTACCCAAAAGAGACCAAGTGACCTCAACATACAAATCAGAAGGGGTTGAAATACTTTTACCTGATGAATTCACATTGTTTTTCCTGCTAGCCAGAGGGGTGGGGGTCTCATGAGAAGTTTATCTCAACTATTATATTAGTTTTCTGTTGCTGCCATAACAAATCGTCATAATCAAGGTGGCTTAAAACAACACAAATTTGTTACTTTACAGTCCTGAGTCAGAAATCTAACACGGGTCTTACTGGGCTAACATCTAGGTCTCAGAGGCTATTTCCTTTCTGGAAGACCTATCCTTTCATTTTCCACCTTCTAGAAATGGCTTCCATTCCTTGGCTCCAGGATCCCTTCTCCCATCTTCCAAGACAGCAATGTAGCATCTTCCTGACCATGTATTCATCATCACATCTCTTTCTGGTACCCAGTTTAGAAGAGTTCTCCATTTTTAAGGATTCATGTGATTACACTGGACCCACCTATGTAAGGTAACAAATGCACAAATTCCATCTGGACATCTTGGCGGGGGAGTAATATTCTGTCTGCCACAGCTATGGAAAATAAAAGAGCAACATTCCATTTCAATTTGTGCTATCAGTAAATTTGGGACCCTGATGATAGTAGTACCCAATATTTAAGTATAATTTATATCCTGCACATATTGTAATGTTAGAAACTTCCCAAATAAAACACATTCGGCACAAGTAGCTAATTCCTTAAACTTCTCAACTAAACTTGAATTAAAAATCTTGGGAAAAAATACATAAACTATGTCTATTAGTGACAACAACTTCACTCAAAAGCAAACAAACAAACAGAAACAAAAAACAAAAAATCATGGGCTCTTATAAACGTTCACCTAACCAAAAGCATATTTCCCTATAGAATTCCAAACAAAAAGGTATGAGCCCTATGTAACCAGTAAGAGGTAGATAAGACTCTTCCGGGAAAGGATCTTAAAAAACCCCTAAAGCGGGGCGCCTGGGTTGCTCAGTCGGTTAAGCGACTGCCTTCGGCTCAGGTCATGATCTCGGGGTCCTGGGATCAAGCCCCGCATCAGGGTCCCTGCTCGGTGGAAAGCCTGCTTCTCCCTTTCCCACTGCCCCCTGCTTGTGTTCCCTCTCTCGCTTTCTCTCTCTCTGTCAAATAAATAAATAAAATCTTTAAAAAAAAAAAAAACCCTAAAGCCCTGGTTTGCTTCGATTAAAACCTAATAAGTCAGTATGACCTGTTACTAAAATAGGCAACCTAGTTAATTACTGAATGGCATCAAACATGTAAATCATATAAAAGACTCCTAACAGAATAACACATAGTGTTAAGAATAACACTTACTATAAATTACGTGCACTCTAAATGAACTAATAATGCCATTATTATAAACATTAATGCATGCATATTGCTTGAGAATTTTGTGTCCATATGGTTTTTTGGAGTGCTTGTTTTTTGTTTAGGGGCTCTTTTTAGTTTTCAGATGAAGACTATTATCTAAATTGAAGCCATATTATGAGAATTATTGTTATTTTTTCTAGCCATCTCCTATTACTAGAATTTTTTAAAAGATGTTCAATAATCAACTATTGATTCAAATAAAACACATCCATGTTGTATATGACTGCCTTATCTCAAATGAGTTTTTAAACATAGGGTTTACCATAAGTTAGACCAGTTCCACAAAATGATGTTCCAAATATAGAGAAGAACACAGTATTTGTATTTGGCAGTGAGCATACTAGAAATTCCTTCTGAAAAATCAAATGTTTTGGGTTGATATTGGTTGTGGTCATCGTCGGTGTCAGATACATTGACAGACTTGTATTTTTCTGAGGTCTTACAGCCACTAAAAATAAGCACATTTTTTTTAAATTATAAAATATCCAACTTAATGCAGTCACAGGAAGGCCGGTTGTCATTGTTGTTTTGTTTTGTTATTTAGCACTAAGAGGAATTCTCTTCAGTCTTTTCCCAAAGCTTTTTTTTCAGGCAAGCCTTTATCCATTCTACAGAAACTTTCCTCAGAAGGAGGGAAAGGATCAACACATACTTTTTAATTATTACCTACATTTCTGCAACTTTTCATCTTCTTCGTTGTCCAGTCACCTGAAAACACACAGAGATCGATGCAATCAGGTCACTGGACAAAAACTAGCCACTTACAATGAATGAGATAGCATCATGTGGACATATTTTATATGAGATACCTTCAAGCAGCCAGACCAAACATGGACAAAGAAAAGAGGAAGGTTACAAAGGAACATAAGAAATGTAGAAATAAATATTGGGGAAAGGTCAAGGAAGGAGAAATGGTTCAACTGGGGAGCAGGGATTTGGCATTTGAGTGAGCCATTTACAGACAGGAGGCTGTAATGATTGAGGGGAAAGGTTTATCAGTCATCCGGAACAGCAATATAAATTCTTCATTTTGCAGAGAATCAGAAGCTAATGATATCCCTATCTTTAGCAAAATGTAGCAGATACAGATCTTAATGACCACATGGAGTAATAGAAAGAGCATAAGGTTTGGGTATAAAAAGACACGGGGAATGAGGAGTGTGGTCCAGTAACCACGTGGTCACTGACAATCTTAGTACTTTAGAGAAATTACTTCACCTTTGTAAGCCTCAGTTTAACATTCTGTAAACACTGAGAGAAATAAAAAATAAGTTGGCAGCATTGTTTGTAGTTGTAAGCAAGAAGTGTAGTTCCTGGTACAACATGTTATGTTTGAAATTAATGTTAATTATTCTATCATTATAGAGTTTCTCCCTAGCAAAGATACCACAGACCTAAGTACTTCCTTATATGTAGATAAATTTCCTCTTTTAAGATTACTCTGCATCTAACTTCTAAATTCTCATTCTAAAATTAACTCTGGGATCTGGAGACTAGAATAATAGAACTCTCACATGACATTTTTCCAGGAGCAAGCTACTGAAAAACTGCTAAATATAGAGTATGCAAAGACGAGGGATATGGAAAATCATGGACATATAGGAAAATTATGGCTATAAAATTTCAAAATCACATTGCAAAATGCCAAATGCTGGAATTTCCTATATAGCTTAATTGTGTTTATTTCAAGGAGAAATACTTTGGAAAGCTGGGTTTGAGAAGTTCCTCACATTTTGGCCTACCACTTCCAATTATGCTGGAAATTCACTATCAGTCCTCACACTGGAGATGTATCATTATCTAAACAATCATTTCCATTTCACAGAAATCCCAGGACTATTTTTCTAACAATTGAGCCATAACAGAGCTGTTCCCATGGTTACCAAGAGTTCTAATTTCAGTTCCTCAATATGCGTTTTATCATGTAAGATTGTACAATGTTTCAGAACAGGCCACTCTTAGTTCCACATGCTCTTTCTATTATTTTTCTCCAAGTTTCTCACACCCAGTCCCCATTTAAGCTTCCTGTTTTGCTCACTTTTTGACTAAAGTTTGTGTAACCAACCTATACAGTGATAATGTTTCTGGCCAATAAATTCAAAGCAATGGAGGAGTTCAGGGACAGAAATTGGACAGAGATTACAAGAATCAGCTCCTCATCATTCTCCATGGCCCTAGATTTAGCCATAATCCTGGTGGTAAGGGAAAGAACCACATGAATCCCAGACGATGGGGTCCTCAGTGATTCAGTGATGCCATTTTATCTCAGTTAAGTATCTTGACAACAAAGAAATTTGATGCTGACAGCTCTGAGACGTGCTTTCTCTAGAGATTAGAGTCTTACACTAGAGTCCATAGAATGGACTTCAAAGGTATTCAAGTGCCTGAAATTATGTGTAGGGGGGCGTATGTGTGTGTGCATGCATGTCACT